CTAGCACAAGCCGACAGAGACGTCGCACCACGATTGCCACCGTGTTGTGATGACCGTCCTCTTGTCCGTTAGCTCGTATTGGAGGGCAGTCAACCTGTCCGTGTGAGGAGCGTGTGTCTGCGTGTGTGGTGTGTGATAGTGTGTATATAAGGCAGACTTAGACTGAGGCATGCCGTCATGAGGGGATCGTGTATGCAGTTGAATGAATGGAGTTTAACATTTGTGATGGTTCGGATACAAGTTTTTTTTCTGAGCGGCAAAGCCGCCTCCTCAGATCCTCAAAACTGTGATTCTTTTGTAAATTTTCGACTCATGCTGTAGGAAGGAAATGCAGAGCGCCGGCGAATCCCACGGCACCTTGAAGAGATCGCCCAGACTTGTGGAAATTGGTCCCGACCTGTGAAGTGAGGATGGGCCTGGTGCCGGGAGGACTTCGACCGGCTGCGGAGCCGACGTGGAATCCTGCGGCACAGGCCGGGAAATCTTGGGTCTTGAAGTGAAGACGGCTCGACAGCCCCTCACCACATGAACGGCAGGCTTCAGAGTCGAGGTCTTCAGTTGGCCTGTGGTTCTGTAACGAGGAGCATGACTAGTGTTTGTCCGCAGGATTAGGCAGGGCCACGAGGAACCGGCGGACGAAATTAATGTTTCCCTCGGATGTCGTAACAGATTTATTTGTTGTGACCCTCGATCTTACGGCAGTAGATCTAATCGTGAGCCGTAAGCTTCGCTTCCGTCTTCTGCAGGGGAAAGGCGCCGGCGCCTGGGGTGGCAAAGGCGGCTGGATGCCCCCAGGAACGCAGGCTGGCTGCCGTTGGCTGCACTTATTGCAGGATGAGTCAAAATCCAAGTGCCAACAACGAAATCGACTTAAATTGCACGGAAGTAAGATCTGTATCCAATACAACTGTGCGGCGATTCCAGACTTCCGCGGGCATTCAACAGAAGTTGAAAGTTGGGTGTCAGAAGAAGATGCGGCGGGCAAGACTGACGAGTTTCTCGAGGACCAAGAACGAAACAGGATAAGTAGAATTCACGAAAACCGTCTGGCTCAGCTTTGGCATCTGGCATGGGTTGTGAAGTTTGTGGGGGATGAGACTGGGTCGTCGGCTGTGGCTGTGTTTGTTGTGGTGGTTGTGGTTGGTGTGGTTGTTGCTCAGGAGGGAGCAAACTGCCCAATGGGACTTCCCATGGCGGCGGTATAATGTGGGGAGGGTACGTGGGCTCGGCTCCCCCAGGGTGGGTAGTTGCAGCAGGCTCGCAACTCGGTGGGTGTCGGGGCGACATGGGGGGGGGGTGTCGCTTGGAGAGATCGGGGTCATACGGTGCCGGGCTGCTGCATCTGTGGTTGGTATGCTTGAAGCGGCGGCCGATGTAAAGGACTCGGGGATTTTCACAAGGTTTGTGTTTTGAGGTTTGGGCATTGAGTGCCAAGCCGTCCCAAGCCGCCGCAAGCCGCTGCAAGCCTCGTGTTTGGCAGGGTCTTCAGCTCCGGGCCCCGAGCTCTGCGGTGCCTCCAAGGGTCATACCCGCCAGAAGCGACGTGTCCGAGCCTTGGGCGGCTTCCGAGCACTAGGGTCACGATGTTTTTTCATGTCCTTGTGGTGTCTAAACAGGAACCTCGGAGGATGAAAGTTGCTTTTGCCTGTTGGTACGTGGCTGCAGGCTGTGTGCCTTTTCGGATCTTGCTTCCCGATCTTGTTAATACTTCCGTCTTGCAGGCTCAGATGCTGTAGTGAGTAGTAAGCTTGGGTACGGTTGTTCCCCAGTGCATGCGGCTCACTTGTGTCCATTGTGTAGGGTTTCGGCAGTTCGGGAATCCTGGCTGGTAAGTCGTCAGCATGTCAGGTTTTCTTACGGCTGTGTCACGCTCCTCGCCCTAAGACGTCTTCGTAGGAACAGCTGCTGCAGCCATTACGGCTTTATCCGAGAGAGGTTTCTCGCGTCCATGCCAGTGCATGAGCAGTGCCTTGACTTGTTCGAAACGACACAAGACGAGAGGAAGGAGTTAGCCATCATGTTGGCCACGCCCATGACCTCGCCGGCCGCAACACCTGTTGGCCCTGGCGGAGGCTACAGAGAGAAAGACGAGGCCGTTAGTTAAGTTCGCGAAACATGTTTAAACGTTCGTTCATCAAAGCTACCCAGCCCTCTAGATGCCAGTAAAACATGATGCAATGATGCTCGACTCGGATTTGGGGCAAAGCAGCTTCTGTTCGACTCGAACCCGAATCTTAAACCATGAGTTCAGAAGCACTGCCTTAGGCCTGAGTGGTCTCATGCCCACAAGTGTGATCTCGGGAATCTGTTGTTCAGTGTCTGCCAGGTGTTGCTGGGCAGGGTACCACCAATGCAGAAGGACGCTGTTTGCAACTGCATATTCAATTTTCTGGCGTGACGGTGTCCCCGATCTGAAGCGGCGTTTCATGCCAGGCTTAAGTGTTGACGTTGGGATTTGAGAGGATCTCGCTAATTAGTTGAAATCGAGATGCTGTTGAAGTATGCAATACACTGGGCTGCCTGAGCATCTACAGCCACCTTACTCATGGAATCCCAGAAAACGAGCACAGAGCTGGGCTAGGCAGAAGATCAGGACCCAAGCCCCAACCCTGAACATCAGGATCCGACCTCTTGAATCTTGATACTGGCGAAAAGTCCACGAACGTAAAGTAACCTTTCCGCAGCCCACTGCGAAGGAGCTGGCACGGTCAAAGGTCTTGGTGGATCTGGCGGCTCCTTGGCTGGGGATTGAAGCATCAGGGCAGTTGATTCTTGCATAGTGAGGCTGCAGGATTCAATGGATTCTGGGGGAAGGAGGGCATGCGATGGCTTAAAGTCGAGAGTTTTTGATGGAGTCTGTATGCAGCTGCCTAGGACCTGGAGGCTCGATCCAGTGTTAGTTGTGATTCGCTCCATTTGGGAAACCGGACCAACCTGTCAAACCTGAAGAAGTGGAACAGGCTGCCGTCTGACACCCGTGTTATCCACAATCACAGTGTTGATGTTTTGCATCATCTCAAGAAGCGAACGTGACGCCAAGGAGGAGCCCCACGCGGGCCACAGGTTCGTCTTCCCACTGCCCGGGCCCCTCACTGGCGTAGCGACGCGGGGCAAGGCGACCCCGCGAAAGCTAGACTATTGTACCAGGACTTGGCCCGACAAGCACACGAGGGTTGAGGGCTTCAGCGTTCGAGCCTTTGCTTCTGTCACTGCCTTCGTCAGCTCTGGGAATAGCATTGTTTTTCTACGTCACATGTGCTACCTTATCTTTAAGAGCATGTGGTCCGGTGTGGCTATCGCTTTTCTTCGCCCGAAACTCATGTTCTCTGGAGGCAATCCTCAGGATGTGCGGCGTGACCTACCAGTGCCTTGCTTGTGATGATCTGGGGATGTTGGCCCACATATGATAGGAGATGTGCGGGTGCGGTGGTTCTTGCATCGAAGTGTCGGGGATCCAGGGCAGTGTGTGAATCATACCAAGCAGCATTCTCGCAGCAAGTGCATCCCGAAAGTTTGATTCACTTAGTCTGCAAACCTTGGGGGCACTAATCATAATCGCGTATGCAGACATGCTCAGACCTTCGGACGCTCAGCCCTTCAGGGTTCAGGGTTGTGAAGTTTAAGGGTTTAGGGTCTAGGGCATTTTATTCAAGGTCCGTCAGCAGGGCCGCTTGCAAACTCGCTGCCCGTCCACTCTTTACTGTGTTCAACACCATGAACCCTTTTTGTTTTATGGTATGCTCGGAAGTAGCCGCGGATTTTCCAGATCTTTAGTACTTGGAGCAAAGCTTCCGAGGCTGGGGGCTTGGGTGGTCTTCTGCAAAACCGCGTTGTGAGGTTTGTGAGGCAGATCCTTGAGAGGCTGAACAGAACAGCACAGACACATACAGGCACTGGAAGGTTTTGCCGCCCCGTGACTTAGTAACCAGAAGGTCTGAGAGGCCTTGATTTGGGAGCCAAAAGCCCTTGGGAGAACAAAGGCTTACACATGCTTACACTCTCGAGGGAGTACACTTTCGCTACCGTAGCTACCACCAGAGGTGTTGAGGGTGTGTTGCTCTTCTGTATCTCATGGCTATGGAGTACGCACTTGCAAACGTCAAGGCCAATATCGTTGGCCTGTGCAGGAGAGGCCGGTGAGGCGTTTCCGTCACCTCTCCGCCTCTTTTCGTTTGTGCGCTCGGGCTTCGACACTTCGGCCCAGTCACGAAAGCTAGCCTCCGTGGCTAGCTGAGTTGCTTACCAACCGAAAGGTTGCATTAAGGGGTGTGGGGAAGGGCCCCCGCCGAGGTGGGCATTTTTCGCGCGTGCCCGGGGCTATTCCCCAGCGGGAGCTGGGTCTGGGGCCGTCCCCGGTGGGGTCCTTTTTGGGGTGTTTGAAGGTCTGTCCAAAGTGGAAAAACGGCTCCCCGATGATGCTCATCATGCGTGTGTGTTGGCCCTAAGAAGCCCCCCAATGATGCTCATGATGCGTGCT